CCTTTTTTTCTTTTTTGTCTTTTTCTTTAGCCTCTGCATTATTTCTCACGTACTCAAGACTGCTCAGGCGAACTAATTCACGATCTTCAGTTGTTTCTTTGCATTTACGCTCAGGCTGGGTTAAGAACGGAGTCTATCACCTGGTGTTTGTTTTCGTAAGTTACACATTGTCTGCCATGTTTTCCCAAGAGATTCGCAGGTGAGAAATATCACACACACAATCTATTTACGAGTGGCATTATCTGCGTGCGTGAAAGCAGTGTTGTTCTGCTGATTATTTGTTGCCATAAGATCTGCAATACAAATGCGTTTATTACACGGTCTTGCCATAATCCTCGGCGGGAGGGAATCCTTGCTATATCTCTCAAACATGAAAGTCTCTCTCTGTCTGTCTATCAGTCTGGATGTGGATCTCTGTCTTTGTCTATTTCGTTATCTGTTCTTATGCATAGTTAACGGTCGTTCTGACTCGTCTTTCTCCGTTTCTGGTTGTGGATATTTTCCCTATCCAGGTCACTTGTGTCTTTTTTATTCTTGTTTTGTCTCTCTCTTTCTATCTATCTATTCATATGCCTGTTTATCTATCTTTTTTACCCGTGTATTTCTACCTATCTCTCCCCTCTCCCCTCTCTCTCTCTCTCTCTCTCTCTCTCTCTCTCTCTCTCTCTCTCTCTCTCTCTCTCTCTCTCTCTCTCTCTCTCTCTCTCTCTCTCTCTCTCTCTCTCTCTCTCTCTCTCTCTCTCTCTCTCTCTCTCTCTCTCTCTCTCTCTCTCTCTCTCTCTCTCTCTCTCTCTCTCTCTCTCTCTCTCTCTCTCTTAGTTATGTCACGGAAAATCGTCTTGTTTAAATATATATATCTGTGTGTGTGTGTGTGTGTGTGTATTAGTTCATTCAATATTGTTTTGTTTTGATTCATATGTGTCACTTATATCATGATGCACAGTACGATTATTTTTAAATCTGGAAAGACAAGACCAAGCATTGGGGAAGACGGAATTAAACCGAGAAATGTCGAAAACTCGCCGTACAGGACCGATCCCTCATGAAAAAGGAATTCAGACATGCTCAACTTCAAAAGACATACAAACAAAATCAACCTTGAAACTGACACTAATTCTCTTGCGCAAACAACACAATTTGATCGATAATGCACTATTCATTTGTGGTAGTCTAAGCTGATATAAAGATTGTTCGTTAATATGTACGAACACATTCTCAATAAATAACACAAACAGATAGAAGTATACAAATAACGATAACAATGTGCAGTCATTAAGTGGTATGTGGATTGCACAATCATGAACAATCACTCTTGAAATTTACATAACGATATTCATCTTACTTACTTAACGAACCTTGTAAAGCAAATGCATACTCTAGATCCTGAATCAACAAAGTTATGATTTCATTAATATTACATCACATTCCAGAATACATGTACCATCATAGAAGTGAATTTAGTATGTGATGTTTGGATAAAAATCAGATCCCAGACAATAAAGTTTCGTTCGTTCCTAGCATTATGAATGATACTTTTTCAAAAAAGTGTTATAACGCTATGTTACTTTCATCTACTTTTTCTGCAGTTATGAGCATAGAAAACTATTTTTTACATGGTATATGGATACATAAATAGAGAGAGAGAGAGTGAGAGAGAGAGAGAGAGAGAGAGAGAGAGAGAGAGAGAGAGAGAGAGAGAGAGAGAGAGAGAGAGAATGAGAGAGAGAGACAGACAGACAGACAGACAGACAGACAGAGGAGAGAGAGAGAGAAAGAAGAGAGAGAGAGAGAGAGAGAGAGAGAGAGAGAGAGAGAGAGAGAGAGAGAGAGAGAGAGAGAGAGAGAGAGAGAGAGAGAGAGAGAGACGAAAACGAGAGAGAGAGAGAGAGAGAGAGAGAGAGAGAGAGAGAGAGAGAGAGAGAGAGAGAGAGAGAGAGAGAGAGAGAGAGAGAGACGAAAACGAGAGAGACGAAAACGAGAGAGAGAGAGAGAGAGAGAGAGAGAGAGAGAGAGAGAGAGAGAGAGAGAGAGAGAGAGAGAGAGAGAGAGAGACAGAGAGAGAGACGAAAACGAGAGAGAGAGAGAGAGAGAGAGAGAGAGAGAGAGAGAGAGAGAGAGAGAGAGAGAGAGAGAGAGAGAGAGAGAGAGAGAGAGAGAGAGAGAGAGAGACGAAAACGAGAGAGAGAGAGAGAGAGAGAGAGAGAGAGAGAGAGAGAGAGAGAGAGAGAGAGAGAGAGAGAGAGACGAAAACGAGAGAGAGAGAGAGAGAGAGAGAGAGAGAGAGAGAGAGAGAGAGAGAGAGAGAGAGAGAGAGAGAGAGAGAGAGACGAAAACGAGAGAGAGAGAGAGAGAGAGAGAGAGAGAGAGAGAGAGAGACAGAGAGAGAGAGAGAGAGACGAAAACGAGAGAGAGAGAGAGAGAGAGAGAGAGAGAGAGAGAGAGAGAGAGAGAGAGAGAGAGAGAGAGAGAGAGAGACTTGAAACGAGAGAGAAACAGTGAAGAGCAAAGTTTCCACAGTTCTTTTTCATCAATAAACCTCACAAAGTTCCAAAAAACGAAAAGACACGAGCTACAGTCCGAATATGCAAAGGGCGGTCAGTCTCGACCAACCACACACACTGGCCACCTGTTGTAGAGTTCCATCAAGCTGTCCTCAGAGTTAATGCAGCCCACATGCGGTGTAGCGATTCGTAGGGAAGTTCAGGACACGAATTCAAAAATACCAGCATTGAGAGGCACAGCGGTGGCCTCTACAATCTTCTGAAGATTCAAAGCCTCATTGATAACTGTGGGAAGCTCTGTAGTTCTGTTAAGAGTTAAATCAAGGCAAGGCAGGGGCGGTCATCGAGGGGAATCGTAATAGTTGCACTAACAAGCAAGGGGAATCGTATTAGCTAAATTAACAAGGGGATCGTTTCGAGGGGAAATGCCTAGACTTAACAACGAGGAAGGGAATAGCTGAGGAAATGGCTCCGTTCTTTATAATGTTGCAGGAGCTTTGTTGGGATTTTGGGATATAGGAGAGCTTCTGGGGCAATATTTTTGTCCATCACTTACGTTTTGAATCAATCAATACCTATAGATCTAATCCTGAGGATCCGTAGACAATATCACTCCATGTTAATTGTAAATAAATGTATTTTGAGTTGGTCTTTCAGAATGACCCTCTGGATGGGAAGCTACTGGAGACTCCTGTAAAAGCTATAGATCCTTAATTGAGAGTCCAATGAACACCGCTGAAATATGAGCTGGCAGATTACAGAATTGGCCCCATAGTGGCACTAGACCGATCTGTTCTGGCAAGGCGATACCCTTCCCTTTAACTAGGGGTCAATCAGCACAGCCCTAAAAAGATGTAACATTTACATTTATTTATCCATTTTGTTTTACATCTCGTATAAAGACTCCCTGATTTATTAGTTCTATCTCTTGTAAAGGTATGTTGCCTTTCAACAATTCGGAATTCATATCCAAGAGGTTAACCAATAGGCGGATTTGCAGCTGCCTTTGCACTTCCAACTCTCAACATATGAATTCAGAGCAAAATAGAATAAGTAATTTCTCCTTAATGTCTCTGAAGTCGTCATCGTCTTAAGATTTTCGTGATGATACAAATATGGTCGTTTGGTCTTTCGAATTCCGTATGTTGTCACTCAAAACGATTAATTAGTAAGCAGGGCTATTACTTAATAATGGCCAACACATGCAAAACTGACTGACTTTGTTCTACGAAAGAATACCAGCTGCGGATAAGTAGGTACAAGACGCTTTTCTCAAAACAGATTTTTGCTACACCCACATACTCTCTACCCCCCCCCCCCCATCTCTCTCACTGACATACACACACACACACACACACACACACACACACACACACACACACACACACACACACACACACACACACACACACACACACACGCACATACTAGTTCTTGAATATGGACAAAATATCCTTTAGAAATTATTAATTTTCAAAGCTACAGAATTGTAGATAACATAATCTGTAGTGAGAAACTAAACATGCCAATGATAATTATCCAATGAATGAACAGTTTTGAAAACGTAATAAAGAAGCAAAGATATAGATGACATGATTAAAGTATAGGTAAAAAAAAACTAAGATCTTCCTTCCAAAGATAAAGATTACTGTGTCAAGGCATCTGTGTAGGAGCGGTTATCTTATCCGCTGTTTACTCACCGTGCTATCGGAAGCGAGTGTGTCGAGGTCCACGAACAGCTTTGTGACGCGAAGACCCAGTGAGGAACGGGGGGGGGGCATCACGGCCTTATATGATGTTCAGGAAGGTTATGTTGAACAGGTCTTAGTTGATTGTTGTGTTCTAGTGTTTGTATGTACGTGGCGAAGTCTTTCTTTTTATCCATATTTCCTTATTTACTTTTGTATGATTTCTTTTGTCTAGTTATTATTATGATTCATTGGTATTTATATTTTATTAGGCTGGCGGAATTTTCTTCTTTTTTTTCGTCTTTTCTTCTTCCTTCTTCTTGTCATTCTTTTTATTATTTTCCAGTTGTAATTTGGAGAAAAAAAAACGGTAGGAAAAATTTCATGAAAGACATCGTGAGAAATTCGGTGTAGTTCTTTGCTGTCAGAGACTTTAATAATCCATTATTTAAAGACTCCGTTTACAAAGTTTGCATATAAATCACGACACGACTGGATCGGTCTGTTATCTCCGCAGATAGAGCGAGGTCGTCAGCCTATCATACGAGTCTTATCATAAGACCAAAGATTAAGACAGCAGATGACGATCGTGATGCTAAACTGAATTAACACAACTCTTAAATAATCCATTTCTATGTGCCAAAAGTACTGTAGAACTATTTCTAATACATCTGCTCTTAGCGTTGTAGATGAGAGAAGTGCCAATAACGAGAAACAACTGGATTTACAAGCAATACTAATCGAATTCAAACTCGTATAATGTTAGAGCTGGTACCCCAAGCCGGGCGAGAGTGTGGGTAGCGTGCACTGC